ACTAAAAAGCCACAATAATCAAGACAATTTGGTACTGGCACAAGAACAGACCCATAGACCAATGGAACCAACTAGAGAGCCCAGATATAAACCCAAGCATATATGGCCAATCATATATGATAAAGGAGCCATGGATATACAATGGGGAACTGACAGCCTCTTCAACAACTGGTGTTGGCAAAACTGGACAGCTACATGTAAGAGAATGAAAGTGTGTTACTGTCTAACTCCATACACAAAAGTTAACTCAAAATGCATTCAAAGACCTGAATGTAAGTCATGAAACCATTAAACTCTTAGGAAAAAACATAGGCAAAAATCTCTTGAATATAAACATGAGCAGCTTTTTCCTGAACACATCTCGGGCAAGGGAAACAAAAGCAAAAATGAACACATGGGACTACATCAAGCTAAAGACCTTCTGTACAGCAAAGGACCCCATCAGCAGAACAAAAAGGCATCCTATCCTACAGTATGGGAGAATATATTTGTAAATGACTTATCCAACAAAGGGTTAACAACCAAAATATATAGCGCTCACATGCCTCAACACCCAAAAAGCAAATAATCCGATTAAAAAATGGGTGGAGAATATGAACACACAATTCTCCCAAAAGAAATTCAGATGGCCAACAGGCACATGAAAAGATGCCCTACATTGCTAATTATCAGAGAAATGCAAATTAAAACCACAGTGAGATTTCACCTCATACCAGTTAGAATGGCTAACATCGAAAAGACTAGGAACAACAAATGCTAGTGAGGTTGTGGAGAAAGGGGGACCCTACTACACTACTGGTGGGAAGGTAAACTAGTTCAACCATTGTGGAAAGCAATATGGAGGTTCCTCAAAAAACTAAAAATAGAAATACCATGACCTGGGAATTCCATTCCTAGGAATTTACCCAAAGAATATAATTTCTTAGATTCAAAAACACATATGTACCCATATGTTTATTGCAGCACTATTTACAATAGCCAAGGTATGGAAGCAACCTAAGTGTCCATCAGTAGATGACTGGATAGAGAAGATGTGGTACATATACACGATGGAATACTATATTCAGCCATAAGAAAGAAACAAATCCTTCCATTTGCAACAACATGGATGGAGCTAGAAGGTATTATGCTCAGTGAAATAAGTCAGGCAGAGAAAGACAAATACCAGATGATTTCCCTCATTTGTGGAGTGTAACAATGAAGCAAAACTGAAGGAACAAAACAGCAGCAGACTCAAACTCCAAGAAGGGACTAGCAGTTACCAAAGGGAAGGGGTGGAGGAGGGCAGGTGTGGAGGGAGGGAGAAGGGGACTGAGGGGTATTATGATTAGTACACATGGTGTGGGAGGATTATGGGGAAGGCTGTGTAGCACAGAGAAGACAAGAAGTGACTCTGTGACATCTTACTACACTGATGGACAGCGACTGCAATGGGATATGGGGGGACTTGATAATATGGGTGAATGTAGTAACCACAATGTTTTTCATGTGAAACCTCCATAAGAGTGTATATCAGTGATACCTGTATGAAAATAAATGATATTCTCCTGAGAAAAACACAAAACAGACCGCCCGAAACAGCTTCCTGAACTGTCCCAAAGTCAAGAGCCAAACTATGCCCTCGAGGGCATAGATACCTCATTACTGTTGGACGGACCTAACTTCTTAGGAAACTAGGAGCAGCAGCAGCAGTAGTAACTGTCGTTGTAGTTGTTCTCATGCCATGTAGGGGGTTAATTTGAGTTTGTTTCTCTGATGATAGCCAGAAATTTCCCTATTACTTCCCATATTGTTAGAGCCCCTTTTAAAGGGAAATAAATTGATTTAATATAGGCACATAGTTCAATATAAGGGCACTAAACATAGAAATAGATTATTTTTAAATCTTTTAAATTTCTGTGAATGATTACACAATGAAAAAGTGCAAGGGAGAGTTCTCAGTTACTGTAGTAGGCAATGCAGCACTTTAAAATGGCAATAGTAACTCCAGGTCAGGTTACTCACAGGAATGTTCTGTGCTAGGATCTCTAAGCAGTCAGATAATCACAACTTCAAATCATATTATTATCACCTCCTTTTGAATTATTTCCTACTCTGTCTCATGAGTTGATTTGTAGGAAAATACTGTTTTTAGCTTACTGTATCAGCAAGGAATTAATAGCACTTAATACATCTTTAATTCATATTTGTATCTCCAAACAGCATTTTGAGTTTAACATTCTTGGAATGTAAGTCTGAATGCATATGTAAAGCATTTGTGATTTTTAAACTGTGAATTTTTTATTTTGGCTATTTAATTAATGCTTCATTTAAGAAAAATGGTGCCACAATTATCCTAGACGTAAGCCAGCTTTTGCATCATTGCCCTTATAATTTCAAATATATTTTTATTTTCTTAGTTTTGTGCTATTCAGTCAGTTCTCTGATCTTAGTCCCTGAAATGTCAGATCCAGTGATGTTTAAATTGTTTTAACCTTTGAACAGCAGGGTCCCCAGAAATTCTGCTTTCATTTTGAGGATGCATAGGTGATAAGAGACTAGACCAGGAAAGTGTTCAGCCATATACCAAGCAGAAATATATGGGTCAAGTGGAGGGGTCTTTCAAAATCTGTTTTAACTTACAAGCTTTCAGTGTAATAAACATGGCACGTGGCAAATATTGAGTATGGGGGTTGAAACACATATAGTTACATGAAAGGGACAAAATAAAAAATAAAGTGAAAGCAGGAGAAAAGACCAGTTTTCACTGTAGCAAACACTAAATCTGTGTACCTTTTGACTATCAGAGCATTGGGTTAAAATCAGGCTTTTGCTCAGAATACGAAGAAATGGAAAGAGACAAACTAAGGTGAGAACAGAAGGCATGAAAAGGGTGGCTTGTAATAAAATGAGAAGCTAGAGATAAACATAAAAATGAGTAATAAAACTCAAATGCTTTTCAGAGAATCAGAAGTCCAAACAATCTCGAAGGGAGAGTAAAACCTGTGTAGGCATTTAATTGATGTTGTCTGGCTTCAGTCCGGCCCTCCAGCACACTTATCAAAAGCCTTCTTCACAGTTATGACTTCCCAGTACAAAACCCTCACCTATTGTCACCTCTCCTCTCTGACAGGTCCTTTCCATCCACTTTTGGACACGGAGTCCATCTCTCATTTGCCTCCAATATCTTCCTCTACAACAAACACAGAGCCACCATACACCTTGCCCCTCCAGTACTCTTGTCACACACAGGCTTTTCCCATGCACTGTTTCATTTGAATCTTAACCACCACCCTCTGAAGTCCAGCTAGTAGCTGCACAGATCCCACGTCACCTATTGTGCCCCCATTTCATTTACGGTAAGGAAGGCATTTGTAGAGGTTAACAGTCAGCTGGCAAGTAGTAGTGACAGAGGCAGGACCAACACCAAGTTTTCTGACTCCAGATCCTCCAGATCCTGGGGACTTTTCATTACTGCCACTTACAAACACACTGTGTTCCCTTTAAAGTGACAGAAAAATAAATCAAACCTTCTTTCACCCTGCTATTCCTTTCCTACTGCCAGATTCTTCTAATTTAATCATATCTAAACCTGGCATGGCTCCATGAAAGGACTGCTGACTTTGGAGTTGGACAGGCCAGGGCTCAAACCTACCCCTCTACCCCTAGTGGTAGCTGTGTGATCTTGAACACATTTCTAAGCCTGTTTTCTCATCTGTAAAATACCTACTTCACAGGGTTGTTAGGAAAGTAAGTGACTATTAAGCCCATGATTAAAAAGAGAGAGACATGATATATTGTAATCTATTATTATATAATTGTTTCCTGCATACTGACTTCAAACCAGACCTCTCCATAGAACTTGATCTTGCCAAGAATGCTAATGGTCTTTTGTGGCTGAATCTTACAGGCTTTTCTCAGCCTTCTCTCAGCCTTCTACTACAGTACTTGTGCCTTTAATTCTCTATTCCCTTGACTTTCTTAATATTGTATTATTCATTCTTCCCTTTTTGGTGGCTTCTCTTTTATCTAATTTACTGACTTCTTTTCCTTATTCTACCCTTATGTAAGTCTTCTATGGTTCCATCTGCAGCCATTGCTCTTGTTGACAAGTTGAATTAATGAGCTAGGGGGGAGATAATGATATCTCTTTTGCTTTCTGCAGTACATCCTTAGCTTTAGTTCTTCTTTACCTGTCTCCCTTCTACTTGCAAATGTAAAAATGTCACAGTGGATTTTATTCTTCTGTGAACAGGTAAAACTAGCACTATTAACACGGGAAGGCTTTAATTAGTTTTGTTCCATGAAGACCTGGCAAGTGATACCTATGCCTAAACTGTTTTTGGGTGATAACAGTGATGATGACAATAGTGATATTAGCAGTTTTATTTTCCAGATAGTATTAGATAGCTTACACTGTAGTCTTAACCTATATTATCTGAATTTGTTCTTCAGAATAACAGGTAGTGTCCTGAATTATCCAACACATTTTAGAGATAATGTAAAAAAATTTCTAACTCTGATGCTGGAAGTAGAGCTTTTTTTTGTTTAAACCATACTATTTGTTTGCACCACTCCATATAACTTACCTAATGTGTCTGCTGTCCCTGTGAATGCTCGGTTTTAAACTAAAGAGTAAACAACATACTCTTATCCAATTCAGGGAAAACTAAGAAAAAAAAGGTAAAATTCAACACAGCAAATTGAGTTACTTATTAGAAGAAGAAAGAGTTAGCGATTTTGAAACTTGATTAAAAGAGTTTGGGGAAAGTGTGTTATTTACATTTCTTATTAATAAAAGCTGACTCTATAATGTATATAGATTTAAGCTGGCAAAACATGTGCAAAGTTGTATTGTCAAAGAATTTAAAGGATAAAAGCTTAGCTTAAATGGGGGATTTCATCTCTTAGTTAGAGAAGTCTTCATGTTACCATACATCACATCCATCCATTCATTCATCATTCACTCTGACTGTCTCTTGTTCCTACCTAATGAAGTATGTTGTGTGTTTGTTTTGCAGATCTAAAGCGAGAAGCCAGTATCTGTCATATGCTGAAACATCCCCATATTGTAGAGTTATTGGAGACATATAGCTCAGATGGAATGCTTTACATGGTTTTTGAATTGTGAGTGTACATTTTATTCTCTAAAGGGTTAAAGTTTTAAGCATTGTTGGTTTTTGATAATGCTAACACTGTCCTCTTAGAATTTAACCATAGTTGTGAACTCCTCTGTTTAGGAAGACCTCAAGTAACAAGAATAAAAGGGCGATCTCATCTTTAGATTCACAGTGGCTAAAGAAGCAGAAGTTGGGCATATTCAGTTACCCTCACATTTTTAGCATACTTGAGAGAAGAGGCTCTAAAAAGAAATGGAGTTCAGAGGGATAGGAAGCCCCAAAATATGAAATTCTAACCACAGTAGTCTTAGTGAAGAAGAGTGGTATGGGAGTAGAGGCCTCCATACAGCAAGCCTCCCTAGCAACTAAAAACAATAACAGATTTAACTTCCTCTTTTTAAATGTTCAGCATATTAGCATATGAAGGAAATTCTGTAGATAATAGTTTATCTTGATCTCAATCAGCCATTTGGCATGTTTCTCTCAGAATTTTTGTCAGTAAGATGGAAAAATGTGAGCTAAGGATACTACAACCATCGGATATTTCACAGCTCGTGAATGATTGTGTCCAAAGAGATGGTACAAAGTTTTATGAGATGGCATCCTTTTCTGTTCAAAATTTCAATCAGTGATTTTGATTAGGACCTCTCACAAGGTTGATAACTAAGGCATTGCACAGGGCTGAAATCATTTTAAGGCTCCACTGGGGATAGATCTGCTTCCTTGCTCCCTCACATGGCTGTTGGCAGCAGGCTGTTGGGCTGAGGGCCTTAGTTCCTCCTGAGCTGTTTGCCTGAGGCCTCCCTAGGTTCCTTTTCACTGGGCCTCTCCATAGAGCAGCACCACATGGCAGCTGGCTTCATCAGAGCGTGCAAGTAAGAGGACAAGAGTACGAAAAAGAAGGAAGGCATTCTAATCTAATCTCCAAAATCACATGCCATCACTTCTGCCATATTCTGTTAGTTAGAAATAAGTCACTAACTAGATCCACCCCACACACAAGGGGAGGGGATCACACCAGGGTGTGAATTCCAGGAGGTAGTGATTACTGGGAGCCATGTCAGAAGCTGCCCTCCCGCCCCACCAACACAGAGGGCTAGCTAATACATTGAATATCTAGATCAAAATTTTAAAGTATTTTACAAGTTTATAGCAGAGGAGCTGAAACAAAGATGAAATTTAAGACGAATTAATGTAAACTCATTCATTTAAATATATAAGCGCATGAACGCTGTCACCTTAGTTCTAACTGCTTATGTCAAAAAGATGTAAATGTTTAGTTATTTGTTGCAACAGCTTGAAAAAGCCCTGAATGGAACCTTAAACTCCATTAATTAGAAGTCTGTAGTTCTCAGAGACAAGCCACATTCCCACTGTATTGAATACTGTTGACTCTCCCTGGAGTGTTTATAGTAAGCAGGACACTGGCACACTTCCAGAAAGGGGCAACCAGAATGGGAAAGAGCCTAGAAATTTTGTCAGAGTCACAGCCTTCAAAATCCTTGTTGGCAAATCTGCTAAAAGAAGTTTGAAAACTATGTACTTCCTCACATATTTTTAAGTTGGTATATATAAGAATGCTTATTTGGATGATGTAGTTTTCAGTGATATTCTTTTAAATGTATTTTCTTCAATACTGTAAAGGTGCACCTTTAAAATCTCGTTAAATTTATGGAAAATGTGTGCTATGTGACCTAAATGGCAAAGCTAGTTGCCATTGTCAAACCAGTCAGCCAAGTCAGACTTGCTTTCTGTCAGAAAAACATCTGACTTCATTTTTCAAATAGAATTAGTGTTGATAGACATCCCTGTGACAATCATCTTACTATTGATTTCTAATCCTAAAATAGATAAGGCTTTGCATGAATATATTGTCTGGATGAAATAAGATAGCTTTCCCCTTTCTTTCCAAAGCTTTATTTTTCTCTGTCTCCCTCAGGAGTGTTGCATTTCCTAGCTGTCTCTTTCAAGCTAGGCAGGCTTTTCAGGATGGGTGAGCAGTTTGTCTTTTGAGATGGGTTTTTATGAGTGAAGATATAAAAGGAGAATCAGCAGACCACAGACTTGTTTACAAACAGACCAAATTATGGCAAATGAAAATAAGGACGTTGACTGCCTTAAAAATACCGTAATTCACATATCCCCTGGAACAACTTTAGGGTCTCCCAAAGATATGCAGATCCTAGTCTGAAGACCACTGGCATGGAAGAGCTATTGAAAAGACTCGGAGGCTTTAGTTACACAAGGATCTATTACTTAGTTTCTTTTTCTGCTAAAAGAGTCCTCAGAGCAGAAGTCCATGGTAGAATGATAATGAGTATCTTCAGTTATTTGAAAGATCACCATGTGTAAGAGGATTGTATGTTTATTCAGTGTACAGTTGAGGGCTGTGACTAGAATCCACAAGTGGCAGGTAGATTTCACCTCTAAGCAAGGAAGACCTCTTTAATCAGAATGACTTTGAATGAGGTGGGCTGCCTCACGGAGTAGACAGTTCCTCGCTGGAAATGCTGAAGCTGAAGCGGGATCCATCCCAGGGGGCTGAAGATAAGGTTTTAATTTTGGACTGGAGAGGACCTCTAATGTCCCTTTCAGTTTTAAGATGTCATCATTCTTTTTAAACCACTTTTTCTGGCTTCATTTTATTCTTTATTGAAGAAATCTGTTTATGTCCACATTTTTATTCACTGAGAAAACAGAACAGGTTTATCATATACTATAAAATAATGAAAGCAAAAATTTTTCATTTGTGTAAATTTCACCATGTTTGCTATTTGTTTCAAAGGGTAACCTCAACTCTGTTACCTTTACTAATTATATGACTTTGGCCAAGTCTTTTAACTTTAAAATATTCTTAAGATTATGACAACCAGATGAGAAGACTGTTTGAATTCCCTTTGTAAAATGGTGAAGTGCTCTACAACTATAAGGTATTGTTTCCAGTGGATTTAACAGGTTAGTTTTAGTTTCTCAGTGTTGAATTATATGGGATTTTATATAGCTAGTTTTGTGTGATTCAGTTGATTGAAATAATTCACTGATGGCTATATATTGAGATAAGACCTCATTAAAGTTGCATATTTACCAATCACCTAATCTCAGTATTAACCCAAATCACTAGAATGTGGCTTTCCATTTTAATTTTTTTAACCTTTTGTTTTGGAAAATTTCAGATAAAAAGAGAATAGTATAATGAACATCAGTGTACCTGTCACTGAGCTTCAACAGTTATCAACATTTTGCCATTCTTGTTCTATCCTTTACTATTGTCTTTTTTTCCTGGCAATTTTTAAAGCAATATCATTTCACCTATAAATACTCCTGCTTGTATTTATAAATGAGGAGATATGTATATATATATAATATAGACATATATAGATTAAATAGATAGATATCCATACTATTATACCTTGCAAAATCAACAATAATTCCTTAGTATCATGTCATATTTACTTGATGTTCAGTTTTCTCTGATTGAACATGAATTTTTAAAGGAAATGTTGGTAAATTTAGAATTCTTTTATTATCTGTAGGGATCTGGAAGTAGATTATGAATTTGCATTTAAAGTAACTTATTTTCTCAGAAGGGCCAGAAAAATAATAAAAATATAAGAACGTTCATTCATGTCATTATATTTTATAAATTCACCTCGCAATTGTCCTTGCCCATTTTTTTGCATTCTCTCTGACCTCCTGGGTTTAAAGCAAACAAATGAACCAAAATCATTGATTACTATAAAATTTAAGGCTTGTAGATCTAAGAACAAAGCAGTAAGATTGTGTATGCCTCCACCTACTGGCTAGGTAAGAGATTACTTATACAGCTGCAATGTAGACGATGCTACTCCAGAATTAGTTCCGTGTTTTCTGACAACAGATGTAATGGCCCCCAGTATGCAGAGGCTCATTGCTCAGGTTATAAATTATCTGGATCCTCTCCATAGTTCTCTAACATGACCCTAATGCAGAATAGACAAGTAAAGGGAAAACAAATGAAATACGATTGGTTGACTTTGCTATTTGTTGGCCACCTGGAAACAACTCTGATAATTTTGATGGAAAAAAGGCTAGGCCAAACAGTACATCTGAGTAATCAGCAAGTTTCTTAGTATATCTATATCTGTCTTTGCACAGACTCTCCCTAACTAACTCCCCCTTTTTTTTTTCATAAGCTGAAGTTATAAAATTATAATGGCCCAATCATGTTGCTTGCCATGTGAGAAAATCCTTAGAACTAGTTGACACCCATTTAATTACAAATAGTTTATACATTTAAAACATACTCAAATACAAAGACTCACAGAACCATAATTTTAGAGCTGGAATTGGAGCAGTATATATTGAAACTTAGCATTGGAAAATTCTGAGTAGAACTTGTTAAATAAGCATGTATCCAGGCCCTACCCTAGATACTCAGTTTCAACAAATGTGGGTCCTGAAGCAGGAGGTCAAGAGATGACTTACCTTTAAGGTAGGGATTATATTATTTAGAGTCTATGTTGTAATCTTCCTCAACCCAGACAGTAGTTTATTTGAAATCTGCATGTGTTTGCACTATACCTGTTGCTTTGGGGTTACACTCAAAATTGGACTTGTCTGCAGCAGTTTGCTGAAACATATTTTACAATGTAGGTTCAATTTAGAAGACAGGGCTGTGAGGTACCCCCGACACACACACAAAATTAAATGTCTGTTTCTAAGTAACACATCTGGGCATGTCTTTAGTAGTGTCTGATATTTGATTTAGGCTGCAAATCCTGAATTGGCTGGCCAAGGAATTTTAATTACCTTATTATAGAATGATTACATATACTATGGGGAGACTTTTACAGTAATTAAATATGGATTCAAAACATATCTGACATGAAAACAATAGCTCATATCTTTTAAAATAATGTTAGTACTTTGTAGTTTTAAAGCTCAAAAAGGAGATAAATAGACTGAAAGTTCTTTCATGTATTTTTTAAATCTTATTTATTTAATTTTCTTTTTGGTCTGGTATTTATG